GGGCAGGGCACAGGGGGTGGGGCGGGAGGCAAGGGGGTAAGGGGAACAAGGAAGCCTGTAGGTTGAGAATTGGGTCATGGAACATAGGAACATTGACGGGTAAGTCTATAGAGTTGGCGAAAATTCTCCAGAAGAGGAAGGTCAATATAGCCTGTGTCCACGAGACAGGTGGGTAGGATCAAAGGCGGGGGATGCTGACGGGTATAAGTTGTGGTACTCTGGAGCCACGAAGGGTAAGAATGGAGTGGGTATTTTGGTGGATAGGGACCTTAGAGAGTCTGTGGTAGAGGTTAGGTTAGAGAGTCTGTGGTAGAGGTTAGGTGGGTGAATGATAGATTAATGACTATTAAGCTAGTGGTGGGAGAGTGCACCCTAAATGTCATTAGTGCTTATGCGCCGCAAGCGGGCTTGGATGAGAAGGTTAAAACGCGCTTCTGGGAAGGGTTGGATGAGATAGTGCGTAGTATTCCACCTGCAGAGGCTATTTATAGGAGGGGATTTCAATGGTCATATTGGGTCAACTGCTGGTGGTTATGGCGAGGTGCATGGCGGCTTCGGCTTTGGGGATAGGAACGGAGGAGGAACTTCGCTTTTGGATTTCGCTAAAGCTTTTGAGCTGGTGATTGCGAACTCTAGCTTTCCGAAGAAGGAGAAGCATTTGGTTACGTTCCAAAGTACGGTGGCAAACACTCAGATTGACTACCTCCTCCTTATGAAGTGTGATAGAGGGTTATGTAATGATTGCAAGGTGATCCCGGGGGAGATCCTCGTGATGCAGCATAGGCTCTTGGTGATGGATGTTGGTATCATAATAAAGAGGAAGAAGAGGTATGTTCGAGGACGACCGAGGATCAGGTGGGGAGCCTTGACAAAGGATAAAGCTCAGGTTGGAGGGGAGGTTATCGGCTATGGGAGCCTGGAGGAGTAGTGGGGACGCGACCGCTATGTGGACGACGATGGCGAACTGTATAAGGGAGGCAGCGAGAGAGGTATTAGGGGTCTTGACGAGTTAATCTAGCGGGCACAAAGGTAACTGATGGTGAAATGAAGTGGTCCAAGGTAAAGTGGAAGCGAAGAAGGGTGCGTAATTGAAGTTAGTAGGGACCACAAGCGAGGAGGAGAGGAGAGCGAACAGAGAAGGGTATAAAGTAGCTAGGAACGAGGCGAAGTTGGCAGTCACAGAGGCTAAGACTGCAGCGTTTGGTCGTCTGTACGAGGAATTGGGGGACAAAGGCGGGGATAAGAAGTTATTCCAGCTAGCCAAGGCGAGGAAGGCTCGGGATCTGGATCAAGTGAGGTGCATCAGAGACGAGGACGGTAGAGTAATGATGGAAGATGCACAGATAAAGCGGAGACGGCAAACTTACTTTCATAAACTTCTGAATGAAGGAGGGGACATGGATATTGTGCTAGGTGAATAAGGGCATTCGGAGAGTCTCCGAGATTTTGGGTAACTGTAGACACATCAAGGTTGAGGAGGTCGTGGGGGCTATGCGTAAGATGAGCAGGGGCAGAGCAACCGGGCCAGACAAAATTTCGGTAGAATTTTGGAAGTGTGTGGGTAGAGCAGGCTTGGAGGCTGTTTAATGTTATTTTCAGGACGAAGAGGATGCCGGATGAGTGGAGATGGAGTACGGTGGTACCGTTGTATAAGAACAAAGGTGATATCCAAAGTTGCAATAACTATAGGGGTATCAAGTTACTAAGTAATACCATGAAAGATTGGGAGAGGGTGGTGGAAGTGAGGGTGAGAAGGAAGGTGTCTATATCCGATAACTAGTTCGGGTTCATGCCGCGTCGTTCAACTATGGAATCCATCCAACTTATTAGGAGGTTGGTGGAACAGTACAGGGATAGGAAGAAACATCTACACATGGTGTTTATTGACCTGGAGAAAGCGTATGACAAGGTGCCTAGGGAAGTCCTTTGGAGATGCCCGGAGGCAAAAGGTGTGTTGGTCGCTTACATCAGGGCGATTAAGGACATGTATGATGGAGATAAGACTCGAGTTAGGACTATTGGAGGCGACTGAGCATTTTCCGGTTGTTATGGGGTTGCACCAAGGATCTGCGCTCAGCACGTTCTTATTTGCTATGGTGATAGATGCACTGACACACCATATTCAAGAGGAGGTGCCATGGTGTATGTTATTCGCTGATGATATAGTTCTGATTGATGAGACGCGAGGCGGCGTTAACGGGAGGCTGGAGGTCTGGAGACGGACCCTTGAGTCTAAGGGTTTCAAGTTGAGCAGGACGACGACAGAATACCTGAAGTGTAAGTTCCACGCCGCGTCAAGTGAAACGGGCATGTACGTGAGGCTTAGGTCACAGATCATCCCCAAGAGAGGCAGTTTCAAGTACCTTAAGTCGGTTATCTAGGGGGATAGGGAGATCGACGAGGATGTCGCACACCGTATAGGGGTGGGGCGGATGAAATGGAGGTTAGCATCTGGAGTCATGTGTGACAAGAGAGTGTCACTGATGCTAAAAGGTAAGTTTTATAGAGCGGTGGTTAGACCAGCCATGTTGTATGGGGCAGAGTGTTGGCCAGTTAAGAAATCACATATCCAGAAGATGAAAGTAGCAGAAATTAGAATGTTGAGGTGGATGCGCGGGCACACTAGGATGGATAAGATTAGGAATGAAGATATTCAGGAGAAGGTGGGCGTGGCTCCTATGGATGACAAGATGCGGGAAGCGAGACTCTGATGGTCCGGGCAGGTGCGGAGGAGAAGCCCCGGTAAGTAGGTGTGAGCGGTTGGCTTTGGCCGGTACGAGAAGAGGTAGAGGGCGGCCTAAGAAGTATTGGGGAGAGGTAATTAGGCAGGGCATGGCGTGGCTTCAGATTTCCGAGGACATGGCCCTTGATAGGAAGGTGTGGAGGTCGAGCATTAGGGTTGTAGGCTAGGAGGCAGTTAAGCATTTTTCTACATCGTTTCAGGTGAGAGATTAGTCTGATAGGGTTTTGTCTTATACTGCTAGTGGTTAATATTGTGTTCATACTATTATTCCGTTTTTCATAGTACCGGGCCTTATCTACTTGTTAGTGTTATTGCTTTTCATCTATTTTCTGGTCTTTATGTTGCTATTATTATTTCTGTGATTTCTGTTGATGGTACTGATTTATTGTCTCTGTTCGTCTTCTTGAGCCAAGAGTCTTTCAAAAACAGTCTCTCTACTCCCTCGGGGTAGGGGTAGGGGTAAGGTATGCGTACTCACTACCCTCCCCAAACCCCAATTGTGGGATTACACTGAGTTGTTGTTGTTGTATGTAAATTGATGGAAAAGGTGAAATGAAATATTGTGGCTCTTGCATTAACCAAGAAAGATAGTGTAAAGTTTTAACACGTTTCCTAAGAAAAT